TTTATCTGGATTTTTGATGCCGCCAATAAAATCCATTGTAATAAATTTCTACTACAATATTGTAGAGTCCAGATGTGTGCAATTTAATCTCAGTATGATTTAGGGCCAGGCGATGTGGTTTAAAAATAAAAGCTCAGATTTTTTTCCTTTTCTTTATTTTTTTATTAATCCTAAATTTGATTTCAGACTTTAATCAAAATTTTCCTCACTTTTTTTTTCTTTTTCTTTCTTCTATTTAAATTATTCCTTCTGTGAGTTGACCTGAATTCAAATTCGAACTGTAAACCAGAGCTGCAAGATATCTGGAAAAACTTGTCCTGATATGAAACTATGACTGCATGTTGACCTTTGTGAGCTTCTGCATCTCAGCCACTAAAATATATTGTGTGTTTGCATCGACGGCAGGAAAATCTATCAAACCAGGTATTTTATTTGGGAGCAGAAATTTGCATTGCTCTTCAAGTGTTGCAATCCTTCCAAACTTGGCGATTTTGCGATGATTACTGCATAGTGTGCAGCTTTTCTGCAAGCCTTCAAAAACACAATAGTCACACGCAAGTTTGGTGGCTGGAGGAGCCGCAGAGACGCACACCTGAGGTGGGAGAACCTGCTGACAAGGCAACTATCAGTCATGCACTCTACAAATCTGGTCTTGTTAAGAAACAGTGGGAAGAGAAAAGACGATCTTGAAAGGAACTTGTGGAAGAAGGGACTGTTCACATGACAAACCCTAACTTTTTGGATTGCATGCACAGAGCTATGTGTGGTTGCATTATGCTATGGGGATGTTTTTTTTTTTTTTCCCCCTAATAAAAATGCATATAAAAAGCATTTTTATATGCAAAGACCTGGCCATAAACCGTTAATTTAATTTAGGTGTGTTAGACAGTGGAGTGCAACCAACCCACTGATTCATCATATAAAATCTTATTAAAATAAATGATAGTTCAGCCCTGTCTTGTCTCAGATGCTCATCAGCTCCGTTGTGGTTATAGTGATGAATTTTATCCCTCCACTCTGTCAGCACTCCTCAGTTCTCCCATCTTCAGCCCCGCCCATTTCCCAGTGCCGACAGACATCGGCTTAAACTCCCTGATTACGCTGGTGGCACACATCACAGCTGAATCATCATTCTGGGATGATTCTGAGAAGCATCCCAGAATCAGTTTTAACCAACTCATCGAATGTTTAAGGTGTATCCCTGCAATGACCGTTGCATTTATCGCTTTCCTCGCCTCTCTTTCTCAGCCAAAAACTCAAGCTGTCTGCCCAACCCGTGTGAGAACGGAGGAACCTGCGTGGTGAAGGGGGATTCCTTCACCTGCGTCTGCAAGGAAGGCTGGGAGGGTCCCACATGCACTCAGAGTAAGTGGAAAGAACACAGATGGACATTTACTGCTGAATAAATGATCATAAACCTCATGCTGCTTAATGCAAAGGTGAAGTTCTGCGTCTCGTTAAAAGCAGCAGTCATTTTTCCCCCGCTTTTTAAATTTTCTTTATAAATTTCTCCTTCTTCTCCATGGCTGATGCCGGCCATGAGAACAGGAGAGAGAGAGAAAGGGCAGAGGAAAGTGAAGACAGATGTTTCTTCCCCGGTCCCACACCCCAGCCCTCTCCCTCTTTCTGTCGTTGCATTCCTGTCCAAACAGTGACATGTCTGCTTGTTCTACAGCCTTCCTGTATTCCCCCAACTTTCCTGGGATCCCTGCCCTGTACGCTTGTAGTCCAGAACATAAATTCCTCTTGCGGCTATTCCTCGTTCAGAGGGGGGGGGGGAAGAAATGGGAAATTAGGGCGTGGAGGTGTACGGTCATTTTTTTACTTTTTTTTTTTTTTTTTTTTTAGCTCTTGGGGAGAAAAATAAAAAAAGAGCAAACAG